AATAATTTGGGTCTGAAAGGGTTAAATACTTTTTTTAATTCATCCCAAGTAGTAATTTTTTTTATATTTAACGGCCGATAATACTTTACCCGTTAATTGTGCCAGTATAGCTTCTAATATATTAGGTTTAATAGCATCGGAAATATTGTTAAAAATGAACTCGCATTTAGCCACGAAAGAAATTAAATCGGACTCTGTTCCTCCCGAGAAAGCAGGAACCAATGCGGTTGCCCCTTGTAAATTTAATTTTTCTGGGTTAACCATTTTTATTTTAAATGTTTCCGGGTTATATGCTACTACTTGCTAATTTGTGTTTATCTCTGTCAGACATACAATATACTATAACAATATATTATTCAAATGACTTACAGAGCTTGCATTTCCACTGTGGACCGTTTGAAAAGTTGACTTTCGTCCTTCTGGAATTTGATTTTGTCCTTACTAGACTTGACCGCTTGCTTGAATGCTTTCTGTTCTCTTTCCTGTCGTGAATGTGGTTTCGTCGGTGGGTCTCAAAGTACTTATTGTTGATTTGACTCAAAAATTTTCGTTTGATGAAGTATGACACCACACCTGACACCAATTTTTATGTAGTAACCAGTGATGGTTGCTGCACGCTTCTTTTACGATGAATGCACGTTCCGTCGTAGATTGGAGAGATGAGGTATAAAAGTTAAACAATATATTAATAAGATATTTAAAGACTTTTATTAACTTGTTAAATAATAAATGAAAAGCTTTCGATAGCGTAAGTATAAGCACTTAACTACCGGAGAGCAAGTGACAACACAAGTCTAACTGACTCTTAATTAACTCTCATTAAATCTATGATGAGGGCTCCTATTTATATGGGACATGCCGTGATGGAGGAGAGGATGATTTACGTCTAAGAAATAGCGTAATGTTCTTAATCCAATCAGGAGGCAGCATCAGTGGTCAGACTAGGTGGCGTGATATAGTTTTAGGCCACTGGATTTTAGAACTACGTTTTTATGTTAAAAACGTCGGTTTACTACATTGGTAAAGAATACAAATACAACATTATTATGGTATTAAGTAGTATTTAATATTTATAAAAATGAAATAGTAGTCTTCAATATTAATAAAAATGAATCAATTCTGTGGTATTAAGTAGTATTTAGTATATTTTAAAGATTTTTTACTGTCTCTGTGTTTTATTTGGTTGTGTATCAATGAACATTGCCGCGTTTTCGTATATATCTCTGGTTGACTCAGAAACCTGGTATAATCCGAATGGCGACGAGATTGGTGTGTCGGTACTTAGTTTTAGGTTTGGATAGTTGAGTGGTTGAATGGTATTACCAGTGAAATTATCGGCCACATTTGAATTACTATCCGAATAAGACGAAGTTGTTGAGAACACTGGAGAGGATCGAGTTAAATCGTCAACATCGTTGAGTTCAACTTGTCCGAACAACTGCGACATCTCCATTTTAAGAATGGCATGTGTTCTTGGAGAAAATTAAACGTTCAACTCTTAATGTTTTATCGGATAACATAATCTTGTATGGAGCTGTAATTAACACAGGATACGGTCAGATTCTTGTTACGCAAATGGTGTCAGAACGTCATAACACTCTTACAATTCATTACTGGCTTGGTCAATGGTTAAAATCGTCATTAAAGATTCCAAATGAAGTAAATTGTGATTTTTCTAAAGCACTTTTAGGGGCAATATCTTTAGCCTTTTGTGGAATGAGTCTACAGAATTACTTAGAAACAAGTTATAAAGATTTAACTGATCAAGCCATTGAACTTCCTCGGACTTATATTAGAATAGATGTATCTCATATGAGAAAAATCTTTTGTCGTACTAAGTGTTTAATAGGACATAAAAAAAGAATACTGAAAGAATTTTATGTCCAATGTCTAAGACTTTTACTTACGTCAAAAGATTTAAATACATTCGCCAAATTACTCGATGCTATTTTTACCATAACTTTAAGTGAAACAGATGGAGATTATGAAGAAACAAGAACACCTTCAGAGTTGAGTAGACAATATTTATTAGAATGTATGAAAGGTCTTAGTAAAGACGACCATTTTGAAGAAAACGATCCTGCAGTTACAACAGACGTAATTGAAGATAATACAATAGACGAGGAAGCATCCGCAGTTTGTATAAATTAATTTATAAGTGATATTTTAAATGTTAGTACCATAAAAACCACAGTAACTGGAAATAGACTATCATCGTACTATTTGCCTGAATTAGTTCCACATGTTGTTAGATGGTGTCGAGATTTTCCACTATAGACTTCGGTGATATTACATAAATATAATTCACCATATGATATTACTACATCAGCTACTGTAGAAGGAGATTTTAATACATTAAAAAATCAAATACTTCGTTTTGAACAAAAACGTTCAGCTCGTCCGAACAACTGCGACATCTCCATTTTAAGAATGGCTTGTTTTCTTGGTGAAAATGTTTTAAAAGTATGTTCATATGACAAAAACTGATTATCAATGTGGTCAGGTTTTGTATCGGTTTTACTTCTTTTTTTTTTTTTTTTTTTGAAGATATGTTATTACCGCAGCCACGTCTCCTGTAACTTCTTTTCTTTTAGGTGTTTTTGTAGGTGGTCGCATTTGAGATGGTGAAGTATCAATAAATTCGTTATCTACCGTCTTATCTTGCTCACAAGTTTCATCAACGTGTAATATTTCATGGGTCTGTGATACTCGTACATTTGAAGTAGTCGCTCTAGGTACTAATGTGTCTTTTAAAAATTTTAAATGAGCTGTCCATGGCCAATTTTGGTATTTCTTAGCAGATCCGGCAAATCCCTTTAAAAACTTAATATATTTAATATACGAATCACACAAGTTCTTCCATTTATGCTTCACAGATTCATCTGTCAATTAAAACAAAGTTCAAATATATATATATAAATACATTTTATATACAATTTACATATAAATACAATTTAAATATAAATACTTTATTATTATTTTTATTAATCTCTGTACTAGAGAAAGGTCATCCACCCCCCCCCCCACCAACCAATCAACGCCCCTTGGAGAAACCGAGATGTACAATTTACTTATTATTTCAGATATTTGGCAACAGGAGACTCGCACCATACCATAGCATTCTTTCAGAGTCGGACGCACTACTGTCTCTAGTATTGTGAAAAAAGTATGTGTAGAATTATGGCATGTTTTACAACCATTATATTTGGTTACACCTACGGAAGAGGTATAGAAACAATCAGAAGTTAGATTTAGAGAGCGTTGGAATTTTCCTAAATGTATTGGCAACAAAGACGGAAAACACGTTAGAATAAAATGTCCTCCTAAGACCGGGTCAAATTTTTTTTGATACAAACATTTTTTTTCAATTGTTTTGCTTGGAATAGTAGATCCCAATTACAAGTTTTTTAATTGTCGATATATGTAGTTATGGTTGTCATAGTGGTAACAGTATTTTTGAAAATTCCTCATTTTATTGTGAGTTCGTACGAGGCAAAACTATTTTACAACCAAAACCTTTACCCGGAACAACCACACCTGTCCCTCATGTTTTCGTCGGAGATGATGGTTTTAAACTGGAAACTTTTTTAATGCGCCCCTTTCCAAGAGCTGTAGTTGCACAAGATGAAGCAAAAAAAGTATTCAATAAGCGACTTAGTAGAGCACGGCCGCGGCGTGTAGTCGAAAATGCCTTTGGTATTTTAGTTCAAGAGTGGTGAGTTTTTTTTAGACCTATAGAGTTGGATGTAAATACTTCAGAACATGTTGTCAAGGCAGCTTGTTGCTTACACAATTATCTCAGAAATACCTCTACAATTGCAAACACAGATGAGTCAGAAGAAGAGAATATTTTGCCTGCGGATAACGCATTTTCAAACACTCAACGAGTAAGAGAGAGATCTAGTAATGCAGCCACTTCTGTTAGACAAAATTTCATTAATTCTTTCAATTATTTACACAACTAAATTTATTATTGAGTTTTTTTTCTAAATAGTTTTTCTAGTTACTTAATAAGTATAGTATCTAATAGTAATAGTAATAATATAATTATATTGATAATCAATTAATATACTACTGAAAAATTGAAACCGAACGTTTTCTACTTTATTATTTTGATAATAATTATAATTTGTAAACTATTTTTACTTACTTGAAAGATTGAATATTCCGGCAATTTCATTCCATTTCTCTGCTTTTGTCACAATGTTTTTGTATTCACAATGACTGATATCATATAAATATGGATAGTTATGTACAAGATCGATTAATTTTTCTGTCTCATCTGCTATATTATATAATATTAATAATAATAATTATTACTAATAATAATATTATAATTAATACAATAAATAAACGAATAATTTTAAATTAAAATATTAAAAATTTAAAACTCAAAATTAAACAAATTGTGTATAATATTATAATCAAATAATTTTTGACCGCCGCGATCACTGTAAATTAGATATCAACATAAGTTATTGTCGTGGACAATCCTACGACAATGCTAGAAATATGTCAGGTATGTATAACGGCTTACAAGTAGGGTTGCCAACCGGCCGGTATTTTCCCGGCCCGGCCGGTATTTCACATATTTAGACTTAAAAAGCCGGTTGCCGGTATTGACCTATAAAAAGCCGGTATTTTCAAAGTAATAATATTGTAAAATTATAAAAACCCAGTAATTCCACCTGATCGAGAGTTTTGATATTATATATTAATATTTTATCATTTTTATGAAATTGATTATCACATGTTACTGTCAATAAATCGTATACCTATCTTAATGACTTCAGATATCTATCGTCCTTTTTGACATTTTTATGAGTACTATGATTAGTATGTACCTTGTTAGTTGTTCCTATTATGCCGTTCTCGTTGGTGAATATGTGATAGACGATTCATAATAGAGTTTAGTTTCGTTATTCTGTTCGGACTGTTCGGTAGTACCTATTAATTTTACATTGTATATACTTGATTGAAAAATTATACGCATTTTTAAAATGAACGAAAATGAAACGAAAAAAAGAATTCGTAATTGTGTTTTTAACGATGAATGGTTAAAAGATCAAATATTTTCTGATTGGATCGCTAAACACAATAACCCTAATAAAGCACGATGTATATTATGTCAGACAGTTTTTAGTGTTAAGTATGATGGCGTTAAAGCTGTAAAAACACATCAAGAATCAAAAAAACATGAAGAATCCGTCAATTCTATAAATAAATCGTCCACTATAAAAAAGTTTTTTCCTACAAAGAATGATAAAGATGAAGACAAAATAGCAGCCGTTGAACTGAGTAAGTGTTTTCATGTAGTTAAACACCATCAAAGCTATCTTTCCAGCGATTGTGGAGTAAAATTAGAGTCGAAACATTTCTCAGATTCAACGATAGCTAATAAAGTCCACCTGGGTAGAACGAAAATGGAAGCTATCGTCAAAAATGTACTATGTCCGTTCGCTATTGAAAAAGCAGTAATAAAACTCAAATGTCCTACTCCTATTCCCTTTTCTATATCTACAGACGCTTCAAATAAGGGAAATAGAAAATTTTTTCCATTAGCGGTTAGGTTATTTAATTTTGAAGACGGAGTGAAAGATTACCTTTTAGACTTTTACGAGGAACCAAACGAATCTTCACAGTCAATTTTTGACACGATTACTTCTGCAATTGAATCTCTTGGCTTAGATATAAAAAATATAACAGCTTTTGGTGCCGATAATGCCTCTGTTAATTATGGAAAACATTGTTCGGTCTTCGAAAAATAAAAAAATAAAAAATCCAATATAATTAAAGCTAATTGTAACTGTCATGTGATTCATAACGCAGCAAAGCATTCCATGAAAGTTATAAAATACGATGTAGAAACGTTGGTATTAAAAGTTTTTAATGAATTTTCTATGAGCTCCAAAAGAGTAGATGAACTTAAAGAATGTTTCGAATTTGTACAACAGGACTATCATAATGTATTGCGACATATTCCGGTGAGATGGCTGAGTTTGTTTAATGCCGTGGAATTGGAATGCAATTAAAACTTATTTTATAAAAAAAGGAAAAAATGAATGTGATAAAATCATATGGACATTTATTGAAGATCAGAAAAATGAACTTTCTGAACAGTTAACTTTAAGAGAATGTTACATTTGGTTTGTTCATCATGTGTTGTCCATTTTTCAAAAACATATTTTAATATTAGAAAAAAATAATTTAAACGCTCCAGAAGTCTATGATGTAATGTTAAGTTTAAGATCTCAAATTTTAAATCGTAAAAATGATAATTTCTTTGGAATTGCAGTAACTACACGATTACCTAATCTTACTAGCAAAGAAAACGATGCATTTAAATCTGATGCTCTACATACTTACAAACGTGCATTAGAATACCTCGAAAAATGGTTTGATTATGAAAACTCTCCATTCAAAATGTTTTCGTGTTTGAAATTAAGTGAATTACCTAAATTAACAGATTTACTCGATCTGGCCAAATTAATTAAGGTTCATGTCAATGGAGATGAACTGTATGAAGAGCTTAATTTGATAAAGTTATTACCAAATGATATCCTAAATAACACAGAATTCACTAGTTCGGAAAAATGGGTAAAATTTTTCCAATCATCTACTGCACAATTAAAAAATATTAAACAAATTGTACAGTATGTATTCTCGGTGCCGTGTAGCAATGCATTTGTTGAACGCGTTTTTAGCCACATGAATAGTTTGTGGACAGATGAGCGCAATCGATTAGGAATTGATACAGTTAAAGCCGAACTAGTCATAAGAAATAACATAACATACAATTGTTCAGAGTTTTTTGATCAAATACAAAATGAAAAACATTTATTAAACGCCGTGAAAAATGCCGCTAAATATAAATTTAAAAGTTTACAATAGTTTATTTATAATAGTTATTATAATAATTTATAAGTTTATAATATTAAAGTTTAACATAATGTAATAATTAATTTTTTTATTTTAACGTATGTAATTAATTATATTATTCGTCATTTTATTATATTAATATTAAAAAATGATGACCTTTTTTTTTTTTTTTTTTTTTTGTACACTTGGGCCGGTATTTTTTAATTCCAAAGTTGGCAACCCTACTTACAAGTTCAAATCAAAGAAAAATCAAAAAACGCAATTTTTAGTCCATGCTCAGCACATTCATTGAATTTGGTTGGTTGTCATGCTGCTGATGTAACTAAGGAAGGTTATAACTTTTTTTCACTTGCCCAAAATATCTATGTATTTTTTGCTGCATCGACATGGCGATGGGAACAACTTTTAATAAGATTAAAAAATATACCAAACTCAATGTTTGTAAAAAACTTATGCCCAACGATATGGTCATCAAGATTTAGTGTTTGTAAGAGCTTGAAAATTGAGTTTAAAGGAGTGTTAAATTCCTTAAAATTTATAGCTTTAAATTTGGATCAGAAAGCTAGTATAAGACATGAAGCAGAATCCATGTAAAAGAAAATTGACACGCTCGAGTTCTCATTTATGATAGCTCTGTGGACTCCAATATTAGAAAGATTCGACGTCACAAGTAAAAATTTACAACGTATTAATATTGATTTGGGTTGTGTTGTGAAATTGTATGAATCTCTAGAAATGTATATACAAGATATAAGAATTAGATTCGATAATATATTAGTTGAAGCAAAGCAAATTAGTGGACATGAAATATTTTCTTATGAAGAAAAAAGAAATAAACGAAAAAAATGTTTTCACGATGACTTCAATGTTCAAGAAACAATATTTCACGGATAAGAAAAATTTAAAAATGAAACATTTTTACCAATTTGTGATACAATCATTTCATGTTTAAACGAAAGAAAAATGGCATATATTGAGATAAATAAAATATTTGGTTTTTTTTTAAATATGGAAGAAATTGACAATGATATTTTACGTGAAAAATCAAAGCAATTAGTAGCTATTTATAGTGAAGATTTAGAACCTGACCTCGAGAATGAGATTATTCAATTTAAAACTATAGTAAAACATTTTTCAGAAGAAGAAAAATTATCTATGCACAGTTTGCTTGAAGCATTAACAACATCAAAGTTAAATGATTCATTTCCCAATGTGGAAATAGCTTTAAAACTTTTTGTATCTATACCATGTTCAAATGCTAGCGGAGAGAGATCATTCTCAGTTTTAAAGAGAGTGAAGAACTACCAAAGAACATCATTATCTAATGAAAAAATGTCATCCTTGGCTCTAATGTCTATTGAGAATTGTGTTCTACAAAGTATGGATTGGAATGGTTTTATCAAAGAATTTTCTGCACAAAAAGCTAGAAAAAAGTTGTAAATTTCAATTTATGTTTAAATGTTTATACTTAGTACTAATAGTTCTATGATATTAAAACTACCGATTTCACGATATGTTTATAAATATATATAAATTAAACAATTTTAACACTGTTGTTATGTATGTTATTTTTTTATTATGGGTACAGGTTTGTAAAGGCGGCATATTCATTAACTCGGCACTGCGAAGGACCTTTATCCAAACATTTGGTGTTTAATATCTATACTTGCAACACTTTCAGTATCAACTTCGTCAGCAGAACGTACTTTTACAACTTTAAAACGATTAAAATCCTATTTGAGGAATAGCTGCAGCGAAGATCGTCTAACAGGCTTAGCTTTATTGTCAGTCCACCGGAGTATTTCAATAAATATTGAAAAAATAATCAATATTTTTTCCAGAATTCCGCACAAGGTTGACTTTGTTTTATAATTTTTCATTAACTACTCGTATTTATACTATATATTCTGTATGACTGTATACATTATAATATTATATTTTGTATTGTATAATATTAACATTAAAATAATAATATAATGATTTATTTTTAGTTCATGTATTAACACGTTCAATGCTGCGGCCTATATGCCGTGCCGTTACCGCGTCGCCGCAACGAATTTTCGCCCGGTCGACTACGTGTCGACACCGGCCACCGGCGCTCTGCTTTATTATTATTTTTATAAATATGCATACGTTCAACAACAACACAATGTATTAACCTTCCCTAATCAAAAATACATCATATCATCATATTTAAATGAATATAGACGTATACATCGAAGGAAATAAAAATATTAAAAAATAATTTTTATTCGTTTTTTATTATTATTTTATTCAATTTCAATAAAATATTCACTGTAAAAAAAAAAAATAACAATTTTTATATTAAATCAAGATAAAATACTGTAACTTATGAAATAAAATAAATATTCAAAAAAAAAAAAAATTACAAAAGATATCTAAAAAAAAATACGTAATTACTTTTACATAAAAAATAATAAAACGAATATTAGGTGTATAAAAATATATTATAAAGCTAACCATTTTGGTGATAACGTTCAAAACATGGCTCGATACAAAGTCCTAGATTATCCTCACATTTTGGGCAAAAATAAATCGTTTTAGCTCGTATGCCTTTTGAAGCACAATACTTGCATCGTTTTCGTAACAATCAATTTTTTTCGTTTTTTACTACTTTATTTGGAAAGTGTGTATCTGCAGACATCTGAATTTGAGGGGCAATTGTTGTATTAGATTTTATCGATAGAAGACTATTGATAACGCTTAACCGAAAATCATAATAAGGGATTTTTTTAACATTTTTATTATAAAGAAGATGTGCATTCAGCATACATATTTGCAAAAAATGTATGGCAATTTTTTTATACCATCTTAGCGTTTTTCTTTCACACGGATAGTACGCCATCATTTTTTTTTATAACGATTATATTGCACGACTGTCTCTGTCTTCATTTTTATAGTACCACGTCTATTAGTTGCCTCGACTGTTTCACCTTTGAATTCAGAACTAATTGTGAGAACTTCCCGACGATCCTTCCACTTTACAACGCATACTCCATCACTCATGTAGTTACATATAGATTCTCCAACTTGAATTTTTTTTTCAATTACACTTTTAGGATTATTTATTCCATTGCTTCTAAGCGTTCCAGTACAATAAGTTTTTTTTTCTAAAAGTTTATGAGCCAAGTTGACGCTATTATAATAATTATCCATAAATAAGGAATGTCCCTTGTAAAAATGATCCTCCAACAATAATTGTTCAACCACAAACTCCGTGTGAGTCATATATAATTTGACACCATATTTATGTCGCTTATTTTTTATATACTGTCTGAAAAGTAATCGCCCACGCCATAAAACCATCGACTCATCAAGTGATAAATTTGTTGATGGTTGATATACTTCATTTATCCTGTTATTAAAATAATTTAAAACAGGTTCGATTTTATAGATGCGGTTTACATTTTGAATGCCATTTTCCAACTTGGGGTTTTTACAAAAATGAAGAGCTCTCATTATCAGGGGCGGATTTAATAATTTTCCACCCCTATGACAAATTCAATTTGCCGCCCCTCTCCAAAAAAACTTTCTATTTAATAAAATATCCTCAATTAAATTAATTTTTTCAATACCTAATATGCAATTATTTTTTCATTTAAGTAAACTAAAAAAAATTCTGATTCAAGTATAACATCTTCTGTTTATTTTTTTAAAGTAACAACATTTATAAGAAAAACATAACTAATATAATAAAAATAATTAATTATTTTAATTAATTTAATATATTTTATTTAATTTTAATATTTAAATTTTTAATTCATGGTTAATTTTTGTAGTCTACATAGGTTTTTTTCTAGATTTAATTCTTGAGAAGTCATCAATAATGTCTTCATACTCTAATGATGATGTTAAATCACTTTCTATAGTTAATATGGCCAAGGAATTTAATCTGTCTAGCGACATAGTTGATTGTAAATAATTTTTCATTCTTTTTAACACCGAAAACGAACGTTCGGCAGTACAATTAGTAGCTGGTGTTGGGACAAATATTCGTAGGGCAATTTCAATATTTGGATATAGATCCTTCATATTGCGTTCATAAATTACAAGCAATAGTAATAATGGTGTAATTTTCTTTTCATTAAGACTTGTAATTTGATGAGAACGAAAATTTAGTAGTTCAATAATAAATTCATTTTTTCTAAGTCTGATTTGTAAAATTTTAGAGTTTTCCAATTTATGAAGTTTAGTAAAGAAATCAAACAGTTTGCAGAATGTTTTATATGCTTTTCGTCTATTACTCAATTCAGTAGCTAATCTATCAAGTATAACATAGAATGTATTAATTCTAAAATTATCTTTCGCTGGTATTTCTACTTGTCTATCTCGAGTTTCGTCATGGTGAATAGTTTTTTTTCTTTTTATAGATTTTTCAAATTGATATGTTTTGTTTTTTACTTTGCTTAGTGCTTTTTCTTCATATTCATCAAATGCATCTCGCTGTGAATTCACTAAATGAATCAATGAATCATATAATTCGAGTACTGTACACACATCGATGTTAACATCCTGTAATTTTTTACTTACAGCATTTAACCTATTAAGTAAAAAACCCCACAAGACAGCCATGAATGCCATTTCCAGTTTCTCAAGTTGTATTCTAAGTCCACTAGCTTCACATATTGTTTCTGATTTTTCAGTTTTATCCAATTCGATTATACTAAGAACTTGTATTATTTCATCCCAAGATTCATTCAAGCTGACGCAAGCATCATTTCTTGAAGACCATCGCGTAAATGAAAGACTTTTGACCATTTTAGCATTTGATTTTAAAAGAGACGTTAAAATTGACCACCTATGAGTTGACGCCGAAAAAAAATTATAAACATGTTGTAATAAACAAAAACACTTGACAGATTGACTTGAAGTTTCGGCAGAGTGTGTTCCCACTAAATTTAATGAGTGCGCTGCACACGGAATGTAAAAAGCTAACGGATTGAGTTCTCTTATTCTAGCCTGTAAACTTTTGTATGACTCTGACATGTTATTAGCATTATCGTATGCCTGACCTCGACAGTCAATCAAATTTATTTCAAGACAATCCAATGTATCAATAACAATGTTGGTAAGTTTTTCAGATTTATGTCCTGCATTATCTATAAACCCTAAAAATCTTTCCATGGCGTTCCCTTTTTCATTTACATAACGTACAATAAAAGATAACTGGTCGATGTGAGAAATATCGGGTGTCGAGTCTACGATAATCGAGTAGTATTTGCTTGTTTTTATTTGAGCGACAATAGCGTTTTTTACTTTCTTAGATATGAGTTTAATAATTTCTTCATATATTGTAGATGATAAATACGAAGTATTTCCACTTCCAGAATTTTGAAATCGAGTTACATGTTGAGATAAAAAGAGATCGAATTCAGAAAGTAATTCTACAATCATTAAAAAATTACCGTTGTTTACAGATCCTATTATTTCGTCGTGTCCTCGAAATGGAAGTCCACGTGAGGCTAATTTTTTAACAATTGCTACAATTCTAGTTAAGACATTTTTCCAATATATTTTTTCTTGATTTACTTGCTCCATTAATTTTGAATCGATACGTTGTGTTACATTACCTCTATCCATAAGTTTAACAACACAAGTTTTATGACATGAAGAATTTTCGTGCTCTTTTAATCGCGCAGATGCAGATCTCCAGTCATTGTACCCCTCAGATGCTAAATATAAATCATTGTTAATTTCTTGGAATAATCTACAAGGTCCACAAAATACTTTTCCCGTTATTTCAGAATAAATTAACCACGGTCTATTGATGATTTGTCCATTAAAATGTTTTCTCTCAAACATATTTTTCGTTAATAAACGTTTTTCCCCATTATTATATATACGTAGCGATTTAGAAAAATCAATGTTTTTATTTTGTTCAAAACCGTTAACAGCAAAATAATCTCGGAAGTCGTCATTTATAATCCACATTGAAGGATCGTTGGAATAAGAAATCGATAATGATTCGAAGCATGTAATTATTTCATCTTGGGGGGGGGGAGGTAAAGACTGACAATGGATGGCAGAAGAAGTAATAGGTACAGATTCTAGGTTTTAATTTTCTAATATTTGTTTTTTAGGCGAATTAATAATATTCGAATCATTAGTCAAGTTTGGTTGAGGTAAATAAATTAGAAATAGATACCTGTTGTTACTCATTTTCTTTTATTGGTTTAAAATATGCATCAACCTTTTGGGTCTGATTAAGAACATTAGTTAATTTTTCAGCCTTTTCTTTTGATTTCTTTTTATACTGACACCCACTTAACTTTTTTCTGTTCATATTAACACCACTGCCAATACCGATTTCATCACTAAAAATTATTCATGCGCGTACGTATAAAATATGTATAAACAGTTGTCACTAAATAAATCACGCGGACCACGGACGTTCACTTTTCGGCGAAAGACAACTATCGACTAATTAATAATAAACGGTTAAATATAAGAATAAGGTTGTCAAATATTTGTAAAATTATTTATAATAATACAACACACTACTCTTCCGTCTTCGTCTAACTCGTTGACTCCAAAAACCGCACACTTTTGATAAAATACAGGACAAAACCGCACATTTTTGGTAGGTTAAAACCGCACACATTTAATAGGTTAAAACCGCACAATTATAAAAATTGTCGTATCCAAAAACCGCACAGTTATGATTTTGACCCCAAAAAGGTCGATAAACAAAAAACGCATATGTATATGTATAATTCATAATTTAAATCAATAATTCATATTTATAATCTCATAGTTCAAAAAAATGTATTTATTTAAAAATTGTATACCTCTAATATTATGAATAATTGTCAACTTAAACATGTGTATATTAAATAATTTAAAATATTAATTAAAAAAAAAAAATGTAAAACTAAAAATTTATAGGAATTTCAAAAATTTAAAATATTAATTTAAAAAAAATTTAAAACTTTCAAAGTTTGATTGGCTGAAACCGACTGCCGACGTTTTTTAAAAACTGCATACTATCTCCGTCACGTAAAAATACTTCCCAAAATTGAAACAAATACTCCTAAAAATAAATACAATTTAATTAAAAATCAAAAATATTATTATTATGTACCTATTTACTAACTTGTTTTTGTTTTTCAATTGGACGGATTATATTTTGAATTCCCTTATGGTACTGGTTCATACGTGTCACTGTATCGATATGAATATTTCTTAAAACATCAATAACCATAAATACAGATGGATTCGGAGAATAAAATTCAGAATTAAACCCTTGGTGAAATCTTTCAGCTCCATTCGTAGTCCTTGTAGTTATATTTGCATTGATTGGATGGGTCCAAATTTCCATTGGGAATTGTCCTTCAATGTAGGTGTTAAGAATGTAGTCTCCAAATTCAGAACATGCATCTTGTGGACATATGGACATTAAATCAACGAATGCATCAGTGACTTCATGTACTGGTAAAAATGGTAATCCAAAAAACATTTTTAGCCACTCACCAGTTTCATTTTGCTTAGCATTATATGATTGTCGAAGGTTATTCTTTGATTGGATTTTCCGCCATAAAGCTTGACCAAAGTGGAATCTACAGCCTTTAACTGTTACTCCAGAAAATGTGCTTTGCACAGCCGTATGAGCAGCTATCTCAAAATCGAGATGGATAATGTTTATATTTAAAACTTGTCTTAACTCCAAACATATATTTTTAATATTGACCCACATTTTAAAGTAACACGATTCAGTTTTAGAAGGTAAAAAACAATGTACTAAAGGAAAATAATAATTTCTGCTCCATCCGTGTATAGTATACAGTTGATAAAAATACTTTGGTTTGTATGTAAAAGTACCGTCAGCCAAGTATTCATCACAATGATTACATAAAAATTCAATATTTTTTTTACACGTAACAATAATCATTTCATCTTGTTTATACACGAAGGTCATTTTTTCATTTTGGCAGGTTAAAATATCGCTATTTGAAACAAAGTTTAGAGCGTCCTCCAAACTTTTCGGTAAATTTGGTAAAAGTTTCCTTCGTTCATTATATATCGACTTCCTTATTAAGTTTACGTCATTGCTTCCTATAACTGCATTATTGTCTATGGATAATACCTCTTTCCGTATTATTTTTCGCGGTCTTTCATAAATGTCATTACAAGCCTTGCGTTTACATACATTACGTACCTCTTGAATTTGAATTTTCACAGTATCCACCTGTTCATGTTTGTGTGTGTTATTTATTTTTAATATATTCTTCAATTGACTGCATGTTGTAACTGAGGATGTACAATTTTTAATAAAACATCGCCAAACAACATTTCCATTAATATTAACTCGAAATTTTCAGTATTTAAAATCGTCAAGTAATAAGCACTTTCCCCCTTTATTACTTTCAATAATTTTAAAATCCATTATACAAATTTAAGATATCAACGTTTTAATACTAAATTATAGACGTAGGTACACTAATCGAATCGATACCGCCTAATAACGAGTGACAACTAAATACTTGATTATTGAATAGTACATAATTCTGTGGTACATATCTTATAATCTTATCTTTTCACTATTATAACTAAAAATAGTGTGCGGTTTTAACCCACTATAAATGTACGGCAATTTGTATACAATGACCGATAAGCTGTGCGGTTTTTGGCTATCGACCTTTTTAGGGTCAAAATCAAAAGTGTGCGGTTTTTGGATGCAACCGTCTAACTAACCGCTGATTTAATAATAGGAAATTTATGTATACGCAATGAACCCAGGCGCGGATCCAGGAATATTTTTTTGGGTGGGCTCGTAAATTTAACCACATAAGATAATGCAGTAAAATTAAGATTTAATAAAGAATAATTTTCATTTAGTTATAACATATAATAATAGTATAAAAAAAATATTTATATTGAAATACAGTTACATGGAAAAATTTAACCTTCTTAACTTATTACTAGCAAATTCATTTAAAATTTCGTCTGGATTTTGTATTAACTCTTCACTTTTTTCTCGTTCAATCGATAGCAGAGCTAGGTTGTGTAAACGTTTTCCGGTCATGGTCGATCTATTATACGTTTTAATTCTCCTCATTGTAGAAAAACTTCTTTCAGCTGTAGCACTTGAAATTGGAATAACTAAAATTCGTCTGTACACTTCTTCTAGCTGTAAGAATGATGCTCCCATGCTTTTAATTGATAAATAGGCTTCTATAGAATTTGAATCTGCAGCAAACATTTTTTTTTCCTAAATCACATTGTGCTCTCAACTTTTCAATAAATTGATTATCTGTAGAAATTCCTGGCAACTTTATAAGTGTGTCAAAGTCTAAAAACATTTTGGAGCTTGGATTACTGGCTTCCACTGCTTCAATTAGTTCTGTTTGCTTAAATCTTCGGTTCATTTCCATGACGATATTGTCAATTATTTCAAAGTATTGACTTCTCATTTTTATTTCGTGTTCAGAAATGTTGTCCATTTGACTTTGTCCTATAGAACTTGTCACAAAATAATCTGTAAGTTTTGATGATACATTCTTTTTTCTCTTTTCCGTAACTGGGATGCTCATTTCACCACTGATTTCTTCTACAGATTTAATTACTTTTTCATATAAATCATGAAATTTGTTATCGGTTCTCATACTTTTTATTTGATCTTTTGTACATTCAATAAGTGTTATGCACTTACTTAAATCTGTAGATTTTGTTTGTAAATAAACTGACAACGAGTTTATGCACAATAGAAGTTCATCTAAACAAAATATTATCAATAAATTATCAAAAGTTGCAAATTGGTTTAATAAACCTCTAGCTTCTGCAGCTTCTTTTGATTTTTTACTCAAAGTACACTCTTTTAAAGCTTTAATAACACTTTTGAAACGTATTTTAAAGAAATGTATCCCTTTGTACTTTGAAACCCATCTTGTTTCGCAGTGCTGTGGTATTTTTAATTTTTTATCACTGTCTTCTTGTGATTCCAAAAATAAACTGTTCCTTAGTGAAGAACACGACTGAAATGAATAAATTGCTTCTAATATACCAATTGTATTATGAATAGCTGAAATATGTTTTGATGCATCAACTAAAACAAGATTGAGCCTGTGTGCATAGCAATGCACATATGGGCATGGGTTTTTAGACATTTCTCGGATGTATTGCTGAACACCATTGATAGTCCCCGACATAACAGAAGCTCCGTCGTATGATTGGCCAATACAATTTTTTATATCCAAATTAATAGAACACAAAAAAAGTTGAATACTATCGGCAAGTGCTTTTGCATGCAATTCTTTAAGCTCAAGAAATCCAAGAAATCTTTCGTTAATACGATTGTCACTTATGTAGCGTACACAAATACTCATTTGTTCTATATTTGATTCGTCTTTAGCTTCATCGACAATAATACTGTAAAAATTACTTCCATTTTGAATTTCTTCTACAATACTTTTTAAAATCACTTTACATGACACATTAAGAATTTCATTTTGAATTGTTTTTGAAGTGTATTTAGCATTTTTTGGTAATGTATTTAATTTTGTTTTAAAATTATCATTTTCAAGTCCAAGCAGTTTTACCAACTCGATAAAATTACCGTTATTTTGAAAGGTGTCAATATGAGTTTTTAAATTATCATCGTCGTTATCATCAATATAATTATTAGTTTCTCTGTGACCACGTAAACCAATATCTTGTCTCCCGCAATATAACACGCATCTGATCAACGATCTCATAATTTCTCGATTTTTTAAAATGTCTTCTTTTAGTTGTGTATTTAATTTTGTTGCTACAGAACCAGTTTTTTTAGCGGATATCCACGATTTATATTTTTCAAGAGACAGTTT